CAACAAAGAACTGCCGCTCAAAGCAGGAGAGAAGCTGGATGTCATTGTTAGAGCTGCTGACAACAAATTCATTTGCAGAAATGAAGATGGAAAATGTGAGTTACAAAGTTACTTAAAAAACTTACTTAATTCAATACAAATGTTAACCTTTGTCTTTTTGTTTACAGTTGGTTATGTCTCAACCAGCTATGTCGTCACAGAGTAAGTATATATAAATATATATATATAAATATATATATATATAAATATATGAGGGCTATCGCGTTAACGCACGTTAATTCATTGTTTTCATTAATCGCGTTGACTACGGAGCCTTCGTCTCCTCCGTATCTTCTCCCGAAGCGTACTCGCTAAATTAAAGCTGGGGTACCTAATTTTTCCCAGATTTAACAGATTTAATCACATTCTGCAAATCAGACGGTTTTGAATGTCTCTTATCCCTGTAACAAACAATAATGAATGTTAATAATGTTAATGCAATTTCATGTGGATTTATTGTTATATATATATATTTATTATATGACTTGGACCGTCCGTGAGCTCTGATTGGCTGATTTACCGGTCTGATATTTTCCCACCTCGGACCGTTACCATGACAATCTGTCCACAGCCCGTATCACAGTAAACCAAGTCGGACATGAACATACTTCACAAATATCTCAAAAGCATTGGACACAGACGAGAGTCATAATAAAACATTTATTAACCTCGGTCTGTGCAGAGAGAGATCAGACCTTGGCTCAATACTACATTTGAGTTAATTCTATACAAAAGTCTTTCATTCTGTCTTGCAGTGATGGTGATATCTATGATGATATTGGAGATGGTATGTCTGTGATTTATTTATTTTTTTACCCAGAAATAAACATCTGCAAGCAAGAATTTAATATTGTAATTTTAAGGTGATAACACTTCATTTTATTTTTTTCAGAATGCATCTATGATAACGACTGAGGAATGTTAAAAGTATACTTTGATTTGTTTTATTTTTTATTTTGACTGCATTTTAATCCAATATTTTGCATATTTAGTTAGGCCACAATAAACTGAAATATATAAATATATCAACAAGTTAAGGCTACATCAGTGCCCCAAGATGATTCCCCAAATATTCCCAACATTTTCAATACTTTGATATTGTTTTTTCCGTCCCTAATGAAGAAAGGTCGCTCCACATCATGAAGGTGACCGCTTTTATTTAGATAAGATGAGCTAGAGCTTTATTTGTCCCTCAGTGGGAACATTTCAACGCACACATTACAGCAGAGCACTCAGATTAAACATTAAACAGGCTCTATTCTTTTGCATTTCCAAACGGTGAGTTGAACAGTGCTGAGGTCTAAAATATATGCAAATCTATAACATAATCATGCTTTAAACTTCGTCCCGTGTCTGAAATAATTGTTGGACTTGATGATGATGTGTTGTGACCACTGAGGCCACCGCAGAACAGCTGTAATCATACTAAGAATAGATTACACTCTCCTTGATAATTAGGTCACCATCTAACCATTCAGCAATCATCAAGTACAACTCTGAAAGAAAATCTGAAGAAATGAGGGCTCAATAATTAACAATTAAATCATGACACATTTAGTTTTCACTTCATGTTCTGCCACATCCTGCAGGTCTTTCTAAAAGGCCTTGAGTACTTCTCCAGGGCACTGTAATTACTTTGCCATGTCCAAAGAAATTGTGATTTAAGTTTTTTTATTCCAACACCATCCTTAAATACTGTTTTTAAAGCTGTGAGCTGTCGTCTGAGAGCTCTGCCCTTCAGTAGAGGAGCTTCCAGAGGGAATGCTGTAATATTGTAATCTTGGCCTAGTTTAAAGCAATCCCAGGATTGAGGTCGTAGAGAACGCTGTGTGGACACAAGTGTTATGTAATGTTCTTACCTGCATGATGATTGGATATACAGCTTTATGTCTGAGTAAAAACATATTCCAGATATGTTATAAAAATACATTTGCTTTATTATGGCCAACACTTCAATCTAATGGCTCAAAAATCTGTAATTGTCTTAATTATAAAATAACACATATTCCAATGAGTCGTTCTGCTGCACAGAGTTCCATCATGTTATTATTGATTGAAAGGAAAGAGAATAACCTTTTTAACTCACAGGAATGTCTGTCTTTTTAGCACATAAGTGGTCAAAGCTTCACTACATTTTTTATGGCAGAGCATTTCAAATGTTCTTTGCCAGAAATGTGAAATTCTTTATGCATATTTTTTCAGACCATGAAAACATTTATATCTAAAACACAGTATGTGCAGAATGTATTACATACTTACAGAGTCTAAATGGTTTTACAACCTCATCAATGACAACCACCAGTTGAGTTTAAAGGTGACATTGTTTTATACATAGTAACAAACATGCATCTAATAGGTACAATATTGTATTTACAATAAAGGCAACAGTTTTAGCTACAGATACATTAACTATTCTGAACACAGCCCTGAGCTAATTATGTCAACTGTTAAAGTCTGATTGGACTTGCATAAAGTAAAGATTGAGTGATTGGAAGACACAACAGTATTTTTCATCTTTACTGTAAACACAGGAAGAGACTGTTGTGATTTCGGGCTTCATGAAAATAACCATAAAAATGGAAAGGTAGAACTTGCACAGACTTATATTGACAACACAACAGCAACGATATCATTCATCTAAACACAACGTATTAAGCACTATCGTTTCTTTAAATAATGGCTTTTAGATCATATTAAGCTATAAATAAAAACTAAACACTCAAAAAGCACCTTCTAGATGTGGATGATTAGTATCTCTTCATTAACCATCCATAAACTGCATTATTATGTTCATAATGCAGTTAATTTTCTAAATGAATTAACTTTTTTCTGCACAGCAATCTGACTTTCACAAAAACATGTTCTACACTTTTCTTACATGACAGTTTTATTTGACATATTTCTGTTATTGATTGTTGTACTTTTCTTTTGCTTATAAAGTTTCAGGGCTCCAGCTTTTGTCACATTTCCGATTCTGTAAAGTCAGTTTTCTTCCACATGGGCAGTGCTGATGTCCATTAACACACACAGCACGTTTTAGAGCCTCCAGGGTTGTCAGGCCCTAATCAACACAGAGCAGACCAAATTCTCATTTACTTTATGCCCAAAACAAGGACATATACAAGATACAAGGACATTGAAAAACAATATTACCTCTGCTGGCTGCAGAAGCCTGTGTAGCAGCCTTCGTATCTTCAATGGCCTTCAGTTTAGCCTCATATTCCTCCTTTTTTGCATTCCATTCTTTTCTGTTGTTTAGGAGGCCGTCCAACATGGGCTGGATTTGAGGGTGGAAACGTGAAAATTCCTGAACAAAATCGATTAAAAACAGTGTTACTCTGCGGCTACTGTGTTGGCAAATACTTGTACAAACAAACTCCAGTTTACCTTGTAGACAAATGTGCAGACAAAATCAATGAAACCACATTGAAGCTTTGGGAGATCAGCTGATTTATTTCTGTCCATCATTGGCTGGAAAGTGAATAAAATAATGTTTGTCAAATAAAATGTGTCTTAGTATTATTGCGATTTGAAAACGTACAATTGGTTGTTGTTCAAGGACAGTTCTTTCCAAGTCGCCCTGTTCCCAAAACTCTTCAGCGACACACAGAGCCACCTAAACGACAGACACATTAGTCTAACTTACACTACTGTAGTTGTTCATAGTTTGCAGTGTTTTAGACTCACCTTACTCTGCACTTCCCATGGTTTGGTGATGGCGGACAGATCACATGCAGTCATCATCATAGCCCTGAAATGTTAAAGAAATGCACTAAAAGGACAGTTTTGTCATTTTAAAGCATTGTACGTACATTACGATCTCCTTCCGTGTCGTCTCTAATGACATAAAATCGACCCATTTCTTTTCCTCTTCGTACGTTTTAGAAAGATCCACAATCTTCTGAAACATGGTTCGTTTCCTGAAAAGACAAGAAATTATGACCATTCATGATCATTTCAAGTTTGTAAATGTGGAAAGTGCTTTGACACAGGTTTGACTTTTCATAAAATACAGCCTCAGCTTTTGAGGAACAATGAATGTCCTTTTTGTGCTCAGTTCTAAAACACTAATTTTCACCCCCAAATTTTCTTCACAATCTGTGCCTTCATCAATGTAAAACTATGATTCATATTAAAAACATGCGTCATACACACATTTATTTTTTTAACTGCCAAATATCAACTTTAAAATGGTAGAAAGTTCCACAAAAAACATGGTGGCGCTGTTGTAGGAATAAGGACATGTTGCTGATAAACGTGAGACATCATATTGTTTTTCTGACTATACTAAAGTTAAATATTACAGGGTGTATTTATGTATTAATAACAACAGCTATGCTATTTCATAAGCGGTGCTATGATTATAACAACATAATGGGAACTTCTGGAGTATATGCACAGTGCATATGTTTGAGAGTGCTGGTAGCATGGCTCTATGATCATGTCTGGATAGGGTATTAATTAATAGCTTGGTGCTGAAGGACTCATGTGCTCGGAGGATTCTCGCGGCACTGCAGACTAAACAGAGCTAAATTCATGTGGGCAACCCAGAAATGTTCCCCATAGAACTCAAAGTAAACTAAAACAGCTCAACCTCAGCTGACAGAGAACCCACAGCGTTCATAAAGCTCGGATTTTATGGGGATTTTAGTGTCCCTTGTCATCCTGAACTTTTATCTTAAATCCTTTGATTTTCTATAAATCCACACTTTAGTGCCACAAACTCTGCAAGATTTTCTCCCGTTCTGGCTCCACTCTGATCAGCAGCACCTAATTGGTCATGACGCACCGAGCCCCTTTGTGCACGTGCATGAGAGCCACACATGCATATTTGGCACAAAGCATCATGGGAACCGGGAGGACCAGGGAAATGACCAAATATGGGCGAGTTCCAAAAATCTTTCGGTGCCCATGGTGGTACATGCACTACTGAGCACAAGACATTGATTTTAATAGGGAGCCAATTTTGATCGCCGGGGCTTGGCTGGAAGTGTTAATGGAGTTTCTGTACAATCTTTGTATAGATTATGTAAGAAACAAACATAACTGGAGAACCCATGCTCCGGCCTCCGTCTCAACAGCCCTTCCTGTCGCATGAAATGAGCATGTATTTCCTTGATTTGGAGTAACGCTTTGTGCACACATCACATGTCATGTGAAACCTAGAGACTCGCGTCCTTGTTTTCAACGAGGACCGTCCACAAAACAGAGACAAGCGTAGTGTGGCGTGGGAGGACGTGTAGTGTTGCGTACCGAGCCCAAAATGAGAGCCCAGCGTATTTTTACTCTCGTAGTACCGCAAGTGATGGGCTCGGCGGGATCCCCCCTTAGCAGAGGTGGAGGGCATTTGTTGCGACTCACCCTCACTGTTGTGGATTTTAACCACGTTTCATTTTAAAGCAGGTATTATTTGTATGTAACACCTTTAGTTTTAGCAAACAACAGCAGGACACGCTTTGTCGCTGCATGATGTGAGCTACGTAACTTGATTTTGATTGACGCTGTCGTAATCTTGTAATGTCTGCGACAAAATTAACAAATGTAATTAAAATATAATATTATAGTTTTATCAGACTCTTCTCCAAACACAATTCAACAAGTTGTCCTTTTGAATCAAATCAAATGCAAAAGAAATATTTAAGGGCTATATATTTTTTTTTTATATTTGATTTTTTTGGAAATCATCTCACGACCCCCACTTTGGGAACCACTGGATTAGATCACAAGAACACTAAAAAAACATTTGAATCCAGCGCAGTTAGTGATCACAGCGCATTTAAGACTCCATTTAAGACTCCATAAGAGAAACCAAGCAAAGACTCAGACAGTGTCAGAGTACTTCACGGAACTGCGAGGACTGGGGGAACCTTTTCCGTTTGGAGTGGGAGTATCTGACGCACTGAGAGACTGGTTTGTCTGCATAATGAGAGCACTCAAAAACGTCTCTAACAGAAGACTCACAGAGTGCTGTGTCAGTGGAAACCGTGGCACGCTCTGTGTGCAGTTTGTACGACGTGTCAGATCAAAGCCCTGCATCACTTGCGTTAAACAGTCACAGATTCGGCTGAAAATTGGTTTAAAGATAAAGACTGCAGACAATGAAACAAACAAGGGAATATGCAGATAATGTGTAAAGCAAACTGAAACTGAGGAACTGTTTTGTCTTAGACTGTATGCCCCTAAAGAGGGTGATATAATGTGGTAAACACCAAAAGTCAATGTTGTGCTGTTAAAAAGGAACTAGACATGGGATAGGCACTGTCACTCATATCCTACAAAGATTACATGAACAAATTTGGTCTGAATGGGCGACACCGGTGGTCAAGAAGTATTTAGAATGAGTGCGTATTTGTGGGGACTTCAAAGTAACCATTAATCCTGTACCATTATCTAGTTTCTCGCGTTAACCACATTTGTTCATCTCTCGCAAATGTTGAGCAACGCTAGTGTTTGTAAAACTTATTTACGGACAATGCATTGATCTATAATATCAATGGAGGACGGCGGAGAAGGCTCTGGCAAAGACAGGAGAGTTAATAAGAAGTGTCTACTCTGAACACTAAACCGGAGTAGTTTGCACACAATGTTAAAGAAGTATAAAGTGCTGTAGTATTGTGTAGTATTGTGTAGTATTGTGTAGTATTGTGTAGTATTGTGTAGTGAACATGTGACACATGCTCTTTGCACGCACTGGTTACACATTTCAACTGGTCAGCGATAATGGAACATAGTTTGCCAGTGAGGAGTTTAGAATGTTCCTGTAAAACAATGGAATAAAACCCTTCACTTTTGCTCCTCAGCATCCAGCAGCAATGGACTGACTGACCATTGTGTGTTTGGAACAGTCCATGAAAGAGGAAGTCCTCTGCAGCAGAACATTGCCACATTTCTACTGACTTACTGAAACATGCCGCACACAACAATTGGACAATCACCTGCAATCTTATTTATTGGAAGGAACTTAGGGTCTCGTCTAAAATCAGACATCCGTCAACATGTTACACACAAAAAAATAGCCCACTCAACAACAACAAAAACTACAATCATTTGATATTGGACCAAAAGTTCTGGTTAGAGACTATTGCAACCAAAGTGATAGCATCAGGCTGAGATTTAGTCACAAACAGGATCTCACTTTTACACTGTAAGCGTGGAACATGTCGTCTGGTGCATACATGGATGCATCCTCTGGAAATGACGCAAACCAATCAGAGACAGCAACTGTCCAAAGTCAAAGGAACAGTGCACGATACTGGACGTGACAGTGGAAACCAACTCCACACCAGAGACTATGAACTTGTCTGATCCTCACAGGAGGAAGCCTGAGAGGAACTGCAAACCTCCTGACAGACGTGCTTCATTAAGTAAATTAGTGTTCAAAACAAAACAAAAAAGTTAAGCCATAAACCTACTTAAATGTGTGTTATTTGTGCATAAAAGCTGGAAGGGAAGAATAGACTATTGTCGTGCCATGATTATATCAATATAATGGGACATAACGGGGCCTGATGAGTACGCTGGTAACGGCTGTTGCTGTTCAGTAAAATCACAAACATCACAGGATTACTGTACATTATGTAACATCCCTGTTTCTACACAGTTTATTTTATGGACTTCGAGTCTGATAAATAAAGATAATAACAATAATAATATATGTTATTGTGTGACTTAACTGACTTAAAGTACAAAGCCAGGTCGGTGGCAATGATAGCAATGTCCATGAGATGAATCACATGCTCAGACTGTCGCCTGTTGAGGTTCTGGTAGATATTCAGCGACTGTAAACATGAACGGTACAACAGCTTATTTAAAATAGAGTAAAAATTAAAACGTTTTTTTAAATTCTTTCAGTTCTTACCTCTTCAGACAAAAGGAATTTCCCAAACTCTAGATGGTGCCTTTCCAGTATGGAGGAGCCATGCAGTTTTGCCAAAGGATTTGCTGACCTGTCATGGATCAAATGTAATGTTTTCTAAGACATGATAAAACTGACTATGGTTCAAACTGTTTGTAATTATTATTATTATTAAATAATAATAATAATGATAATACATACATACATGCATTTAATATTATAATTATATGACCTACTTGACTTGGTACAAGTTGTTGGTCCCTCTGTGATCAATATCATGGAGGAATCCTGCAGTTATCATGGCCATTACTTCTAAGTCTGTGTAGTATCGCTTCAGATTCCCTGTCTGCACAACCACGTTTAGAGAAAACATTTAAGAAAATAATACTTTTTATTATTGTTTTACCGTAAGAAGAGTAAACATGGTCTGCCCCACATTGAAACCATGACGCCAGTTGTGGTAAGTAATTTTTCTATATCCTTTACAAACAGAGTACATGAAACGAACCAGAACCTGAAAACAAACATTATTCTAATTTATACTTTTCTATAATAGTTTAATGAAGTTGTGTATTTGTCTCTCTGAGTTCCTTACCTCCTGTGGGACCTGGAACTTCTTAACCACACCCACCTCGTAGTACATCTGGATTCCACACTTCACTAACTCCAGCTCAGTGCAGTTGAAATCAGAAAAATGAAATTGGTAGATCTCAAACTTCTTAATGAGCGGTGGCAGGTCTTTTTTCTAAAATGTAAATAAAATACAATACTTTTTTTGTTGCGATGTTATGAAAGGTCAAGTTTATATTTCACTGTTTTACCAGAATTTGTAAAAGTTCCTCCTCTTCGCACTCACTGGGCTCACATCCAAACACCTCCCTGGTGTTCTGCTCATGCAAAATACATTCATATTATTGTCATTGTTATGATTTGAGAATTTTCTGAATAAAGCTTTCTTACGAGTACGTTCTGGATCTCATCATTACGACATTTGACGTGGTAGAGCACCATATCCTGCGCAATGTCCTTCCGGTTTTCTAGTCTGTTAATTTTGTCATAGGTATCTGTGTTTAAGGCAGACCAGCCCAAAAACTGTGTCAAAGCCTGAGGATGCAGCAGTTCGACTTTTTAGAAACAGTTCAACTCTTTAAAAACAAAAACGTATATTATCATGACTTTATTTCACCTCCATGAGCTGTTCATCGTGATCATCAAAAGGCTTCCCATCTTTCCTGTTGTAAAATGTGGCAACACCGACAATCTCTTCTTTTTTATTGACGATTGGAAGTGACAGCACGTTCTTTATAATCCAACCGCTGCTGTCGAGGGCCTCAGTCTGAAGGTTTAATGCACGACACAATCACAGACTTTCTGCTTTCAGCTTTCATACTACTTTAAAATCAATGTATCTCAGTGCGTGCTTCAACTCTTTGGAATGGATAAACTGATTGTTTCATAATGTGTTTCATAAACTGTTCAAAACAGCACTGATGAAGGATGTGGAGGAAAGAGAGCCTTCAGTTGTGGAAGACGGATGTAGGCTCAGAGAGTGGTACTTTTTACTAATGTGTGTTGCATTGGTATTGTTTTTTTAATGATTTTGTTCCACATCGTTCTCTCTTATGTTGAATGAATGAAAGGATCATCCAACCCTTTTGTTCTGTGAAATGTGTTGAAAGACATATATTTTTTGATAGATTGACTGATACCTGAAACTTAAAGGTTTCATCAGCAGCGGCGTTCATGATGTTGCAAATCTGATGGAAAACAGAGAAGATGATTATTAAAAAGAAAGCTGAAAAGGTGTTTTAGGAGACTGAATCCAAACTTACTAAACCAGTCTCTGCAACATATGTAGGAAGGCCACTGCTCAAAGCCCAGTGATCTGCAGGAGGGGTGCTATGTGAAGAAGTAAGTCAGTGTTACCATGGTTACTGAGAGTTGCGGGTCAATTTCATAACACCAACTTACGGTATGACTTTGATGTCCTCTTTTCCATGCAGTATGTAGTCAATAATCTTATAAAAAATGACTTCCTAAAGAATGACAAAGTGTTGCTATTATAAACGTAACTGGAAAAACATTTCAAGTGTATAATAATAATCAGATACAGAGTGGAGGGAACGCTCAGATGCTAAATGTGATGAAACCTAGATTGAGCTTATCGGGAACTTCTCGATAAAAATGATCATAAAGCATCAAGTTGTGGTTTACCCGTCCATCAGGTGTAACAGGTCCAGAGTAAGGCGGCTGCTCTCCCATCAACACAGGCCAGACATCAAAGAATTCCTGTCAATGAGAAAGAATTGTACAATGGTTCATGCAACAACATCTGGTCCTGTGAACAGCGCCGTTTTGAATTGTTTATTGTTTCTGCATTGTATCTATGTTGGAAATGAACATGACCTTTTGACATTTTGACTTTGATCTGAGAGCAGAGCTTCATGAATACACTTGTCACTACATACACTGTTATGTAGGGCAGTGGTACCCAAACTTGTTTCCCTGTGTACTCCACACACAACCTGTGGCTTTCATTCACTTATATATCTACACAATTATTATATGCTTGGACTAAACCAAACTGGACCAAAAGTAGGAAAGGCTTATTATTGTCTTCCTTACTTGAACCAGGGGAGGGGGGTGTTTCAGCGGGAGCTTCTACTTGATCAGATATTACTCATAAATGTGTCCTGGCCTGGGTGTAGAATATAATGCATTATGTGGTTGTTTTCTTGAGAGAATTAACTTTCCAATTATGTAAAACTTCTCAGAGTAACCCTAAAAACCTCTGTTTGCAAGTTTTGAAAATAATTGTAAGCATTGATAATACCCTGTTTTGGTGACACTGATGTAGGGAGTATTGTTGTTTACCTTTTCCTTCGTCATATCCAGCAAACCCACAGAATAGCGATCACAGTTGAGGTAGGCTCTCACAGTGTACAAGGCTTTGTGAAACTGACGCTCAATATCTGTCAATTCTTCAAACACTTTGTTGGCAGACCACAGCAGCATCTGTAAATCAATGCTCATCCATCATTTGTCCTGTTTTAGGAATGATCAGGCGACGACAGATGTACTTACCATCCCTTTACGTGTCTCACAGCTGTGGAGGTAATTCAGGTGGTAGATTTTCAAGTTCAAACTAGCAATTTTTAGATACTTTAAAAAAATCTGTAAAATAGAAACGGTTTCAAGTGTCTGGAACGGCAAATTTCATTCCGAAAAAGGTACATTTTTATGACCTATACACTGTATGTATCCATAAATAAACTTACTGATGTTGCTACATGTTTATACATTAAAGCAGGAGAATCTTAGTGAAGCAATCATTTCATTTCAATTCAACTAAATATTGAACCCTAAAGAATATCTTTTCATCCATCAGTTATTGACTTTATCGTTCAATAATTATGGATATAGTAATTATGGTGACAGGTCCAGGGAGAAATAACATGTCAGAAATACCAATAACATACAATTACATTATTCAACTTTCAAAATAATCTAAATCAAAAATATGTTTTTATATACGTATAGTTCCAATCAACAGATTATTTAAAACCAGACTGCATTTAGAAAAAACTGAATAAGTATGAGGCGGGAAGTGATGCCTTCAGCACAGAGGGAGCTGTAGGGTCAGGGAGTCTTTGGGCCTGTGTCTTTTGTATATACCCTGTTGTGTTTTCTGCTGTAGGGTGTTGTGTTGAATGGATTGTGTTGTGTTGAATGGATGGTGTTGTGTTGAATGGATGGTGTTGTGTTGAATGGATGGTGTTGTGTTGAATGGATTGTGTTGTGTTGAATGGATTGTGTTGTGTTGAATGGATTGTGTTGTGTTGAATGGATTGTGTTGTGTTGAATGGATTGTGTTGTGTTGAATGGATGGTGTTGTGTTGAATGGATTGTGTTGTGTTGAATGGATTGTGTTGTGTTTAATGGATTGTGTTGTGTTGAATGGATTGTGTTGTGTTGAATGGATGGTGTTGTGTTGAATGGATGGTGTTGTGTTGAATGGATTGTGTTGTGTTGAATGGATTGTGTTGTGTTGAATGGATTGTGTTGTGTTGAATGGATTGTGTTGTGTTGAATGGATTGTGTTGTGTTGAATGGATGGTGTTGTGTTGAATGGATTGTGTTGTGTTGAATGGATGGTGTTGTGTTGAATGGATGGTGTTGTGTTGAATGGATGTGTGTTGTGTTGAATGGATTGTGTTGTGTTGAATGGATTGTGTTGTGTTGAATGGATTGTGTTGTGTTGAATGGATTGTGTTGTGTTGAATGGATTGTGTTGTGTTGAATGGATTGTGTTGTGTTGAATGGATTGTGTTGTGTTGAATGGATTGTGTTGTGTTGAATGGATTGTGTTGTGTTGAATGGATTGTGTTGTGTTGAATGGATTGTGTTGTGTTGAATGGATGTGTTGTGTTGAATGGATTGTGTTGTGTTGAATGGATTGTGTTGTGTTGAATGGATTGTGTTGTGTTGAATGGATTGTGTTGTGTTGAATGGATTGTGTTGTGTTGAATGGATTGTGTTGTGTTGAATGGATTGTGTTGTGTTGAATGGATTGTGTTGTGTTGAATGGATTGTGTTGTGTTGAATGGATTGTGTTGTGTTGAATGGATTGTGTTGTGTTGAATGGATTGTGTTGTGTTGAATGGATTGTGTTGTGTTGAATGGATTGTGTTGTGTTGAATGGATTGTGTTGTGTTGAATGGATTGTGTTGTGTTGAATGGATTGTGTTGTGTTGAATGGATTGTGTTGTGTTGAATGGATTGTGTTGTGTTGAATGGATTGTGTTGTGTTGAATGGATTGTGTTGTGTTGAATGGATTGTGTTGTGTTGAATGGATTGTGTTGTGTTGAATGGATTGTGTTGTGTTGAATGGATTGTGTTGTGTTGAATGGATTGTGTTGTGTTGAATGGATTGTGTTGTGTTGAATGGATTGTGTTGTGTTGAATGGATTGTGTTGTGTTGAATGGATTGTGTTGTGTTGAATGGATTGTGTTGTGTTGAATGGATTGTGTTGTGTTGAATGGATTGTGTTGTGTTGAATGGATTGTGTTGTGTTGAATGGATTGTGTTGTGTTGAATGGATTGTGTTGTGTTGAATGGATTGTGTTGTGTTGAATGGATTGTGTTGTGTTGAATGGATTGTGTTGTGTTGAATGGATTGTGTTGTGTTGAATGGATTGTGTTGTGTTGAATGGATTGTGTTGTGTTGAATGGATTGTGTTGTGTTGAATGGATTGTGTTGTGTTGAATGGATTGTGTTGTGTTGAATGGATTGTGTTGTGTTGAATGGATTGTGTTGTGTTGAATGGATTGTGTTGTGTTGAATGGATTGTGTTGTGTTGAATGGATTGTGTTGTGTTGAATGGATTGTGTTGTGTTGAATGGATTGTGTTGTGTTGAATGGATTGTGTTGTGTTGAATGGATTGTGTTGTGTTGAATGGATTTGTTGTGTTGAATGGATTGTGTTGTGTTGAATGGATTGTGTTGTGTTGAATGGATTGTGTTGTGTTGAATGGATTGTGTTGTGTTGAATGGATTGTGTTGTGTTGAATGGATTGTGTTGTGTTGAATGGATTGTGTTGTGTTGAATGGATTGTGTTGTGTTGAATGGATTGTGTTGTGTTGAATGGATTGTGTTGTGTTGAATGGATTGTGTTGTGTTGAATGGATTGTGTTGTGTTGAATGGATTGTGTTGTGTTGAATGGATTGTGTTGTGTTGAATGGATTGTGTTGTGTTGAATGGATGGTGTTGTGTTGAATGGATGGTGTTGTGTTGAATGGATTGTGTTGTGTTGAATGGATTGTGTTGTGTTGAATGGATTGTGTTGTGTTGAATGGATTGTGTTGTGTTGAATGGATTGTGTTGTGTTGAATGGATTGTGTTGTGTTGAATGGATTGTGTTGTGTTGAATGGATTGTGTTGTGTTGAATGGATTGTGTTGTGTTGAATGGATTGTGTTGTGTTGAATGGATTGTGTTGTGTTGAATGGTTGTGTTGTGTTGAATGGATTGTGTTGTGTTGAATGGATTGTGTTGTGTTGAATGGATTTGTGTTGTGTTGTGGATGGATTGTGTTGTGTTGAATGGATTGTGTTGTGTTGAATGGATTGTGTTGTGTTGAATGGATTGTGTTGTGTTGAATGGATTGTGTTGTGTTGAATGGATTGTGTTGTGTTGAATGGATTGTGTTGTGTTGAATGGATTGTGTTGTGTTGAATGGATTGTGTTGTGTTGAATGGATTGTGTTGTGTTGAATGGATTGTGTTGTGTTGAATGGATTGTGTTGTGTTGAATGGATTGTGTTGTGTTGAATGGATTGTGTTGTGTTGAATGGATTGTGTTGTGTTGAATGGATTGGTGTTGTGTTGAATGGATTGTGTTGTGTTGAATGGATTGTGTTGTGTTGAATGGATTGTGTTGTGTTGAATGGATTGTGTTGTGTTGAATGGATTGTGTTGTGTTGAATGGATTGTGTTGTGTTGAATGGATTGTGTTGTGTTGAATGGATTGTGTTGTGTTGAATGGATTGTGTTGTGTTGAATGGATTGTGTTGTGTTGAATGGATTGTGTTGTGTTGAATGGATTGTGTTGTGTTGAATGGATTGTGTTGTGTTGAATGGATTGTGTTGTGTTGAATGGATTGTGTGTTGTGTTGAATGGATTGTGTTGTGTTGAATGGATTGTGTTGTGTTGAATGGATTGTGTTGTGTTGAATGGATTGTGTTGTGTTGAATGGATTGTGTTGTGTTGAATGGATTGTGTTGTGTTGAATGGATTGTGTTGTGTTGAATGGATTGATGTTTGTGTTGAATGGATGTGTTGTGTGTTGTGTTGTGTTGAATGGATTGTGTTGTGTTGAATGGATTGTGTTGTGTTGAATGGATTGTGTGTGTTGAATGGATTGTGTTGTGTTGAATGGATTGTGTTGTGTTGAATGGATTGTGTTGTGTTGAATGGATTGTGTTGTGTTGAATGGATTGTGTTGTGTTGAATGGATTGTGTTGTGTTGAATGGATTGTGTTGTGTTGAATGGATTGTGTTGTGTTGAATGGATTGTGTTGTGTTGAATGGATTGTGTTTGTGTTGAATGGATTGTGTTGTGTTGAATGGATTGTGTTGTGTTGAATGGATTGTGTTGTGTTGAATGGATTGTGTTGTGTTGAATGGATTGTGTTGTGTTGAATGGATTGTGTTGTGTTGAATGGATTGTGTTGTGTTGAATGGATTGTGTTGTGTTGAATGGATTGTGTTGTGTTGAATGGATTGTGTTGTGTTGAATGGATTGTGTTGTGTTGAATGGATTGTGTTGTGTTGAATGGATGTGTGTTGTGTTGAATGGATTGTGTTGTGTTGAATGGATTGTGTTGTGTTGAATGGATTGTGTTGTGTTGAATGGATTGTGTTGTGTTGAATGGATTGTGGTTGTGTGTTGAATGGATTGTGTGTGTTGATGTTGTGTTGTGTTGAATGGATTGTGTTGTGTTGAATGGATTGTGTTGTGTTGAATGGATTGTGTTGTGTTGAATGGATTGTGTTGTGTTGAATGGATTGTGTTGTGTTGAATGGATTGTGTTGTGTTGAATGGATTGTGTTGTGTTGAATGGATTGTGTTGTGTTGAATGGATTGTGTTGTGTTGAATGGATTGTGTTGTGTTGAATGGATTGTGTTGTGTTGAATGGATTGTGTTGGTGTTGAATGGATTGTGTTGTGTTGAATGGATTGTGTTGTGTTGAATGGATTGTGTTGTGTTGAATGGATGTTGTTGTGTGTTGAATGGATTGTGTTGTGTTGAATGGATTGTGTTGTGTTGAATGGATTGTGTTGTGTTGAATGGATGTTTGTGTTGTGTTGTGATGGATTGTGTTGTGTTGAATGGATTGTGTTGTGTTGAATGGATTGTGTTGTGTTGAATGGATTGGTGTGTGTGAATTGAATGGTTGTGTTGTGTTTGTGTTGAATGGATTGTGTTGTGTGTTGAATGGATTGTGTTGTGTTGAATGGATTGTGTTGTGTTGAATGGATTGTGTTGTGTTGAATGGATTGTGTTGTGTTGAATGGATTGTGTTGTGTTGAATGGATTGTGTTGTGTTGAATGGATGGTGTTGTGTTGAATGGATGGTGTTGTGTTGAATGGAATGGTGTTGTGTTGAATGGATGGTGTTGTGTTGAATGGATTGTGTTGTGTTGAATGGATTGTGTTGTGTTGAATGGATTGTGTTGTGTTGAATGGATTGTGTTGTGTTGAATGGATTGTGTTGTGTTGAATGGATTGTGTTGTGTTGAATGGATTGTGTTGTGTTGAATGGATTGTGTTGTGTTGAATGGATTGTGTTGTGTTGAATGGATGATGGGGTTTGGAATGAAAGCGTTCTTAACCATGTATGTGAAGTCATGTATTTGTTTATGTTGTTGTATGTGACAATGTGATGTACAAGTTTGAAATAAAATCACTACTAATGAATATTTATATATTCAATGAAAAAGTCCGTTACAAGTGTATCGTAGCCTTTCTTAATATAGAATCATGTGATCGCAGCCCATTCCAAATGCATGTTGACTTACATCTTCATCCTCGTCAGTGAAGTGAGGCCCCGTGGTCTTGTTCAGAGCCATGATCACTGCCACCATATCTTTGCCGTTAAGAATGGGCGTGGCCAGAATGTTGTCTGTCTTATATTCCGTGAGCTCATCCACAAAGGAGCTGAAGTGCTGATTCTAAAACAAGACAATACAAAAACTGAGTTGGTGGGAGTGATTGTGTGACAGATGCAGGTGGAATAGAGACGTTTCATATAGAACCATCTGTAGAACATGTACTGAAAATATGTGGTTTTAATAGAGTAGCCAGTTATTTTATTAAGCATAAAATAAAATATAAACTATATAAAATATCCCAACATTAGGCCATTTATACGGGAGCCACAGACATCCTTGAGGGTTTGTTGATCGGTTTGTATATCCTACTCACAGCTGAGTAAATGTCAGGGATGTCTAATCCAGAGCTGAAGCAAGCGCTCATGGGATACTAAAATAAATGGATTATGTCTGATATGGGATTTATGCATCCACACATTCAGTGCTTCATGTATTTCAGTGGTGAGCAGAAAGTCCAATATTATCCAGAGTTAAATTGTTATAGAAAATGTATAGAAAATTGTAGAAAATTAAAATGTAATTTGTATTGAAAATGTAACTCGAAAAACATAATAGGCTTTTCATTATGTGAAGTGTGTGAATATAATAATGTATGTGTCTTACCTCTGCAACATTTTTCACATTAACAGTTTTCTTGGTCTGAGCCACGTGGCCCACAATGCCCATATCCAAGGGATACACAATCTCTGAGTCAGGAGGAACCACACAATCCTCCAGCTGAGCCTGAGCATTCACGTTGAAGAGCCTGGTGGCCAGCTCCCCAATGCCGTTCCTCTGCCGGTACATGAACAGGCTGCAGCGGTCAGCATGGATCAGAGCACTTATCCTTTTCAGGAGTTTGAAGATCACTCTTTCCATATTAACATTTTCCTGCATGTCTGAGATGACATCGTACATGATTTGGCTTTCTTCAAGCTGAGAACGCGAATACACAAAGGCAGAAACAGTCAAAAACTTTTCGCATGGATTTCTATGAGTGCATTATCTCTCTTTCTCTCTCATATCTATATATATATACATATATATATATATATATATATATATATATATATATATATATATATATATATATATATGTATATATATATATATATATATGTATATATATATAACTTACAGTTACCTGAGAAAGTTGCTGAAAATTATTGAAGTCCACTTGGTTCTCTGGAAGTCCTGAGGCCTTTGAGATGAAGCCTGGACTCATTGCCTTGCTGAAATACTCTTTGGCAAATGCAGTGTTTCTTTGAAGAAATTTCTCCACATCCTCTTTTTTCGCTCCCATATTGTCCTCTCTTGATCTGTTGTCTTCTCTTCTCAACAATAATCCTCCAGTTTATACAACTTTGCTTCCTCCAAACTTCCACCCTAGATGTCTCAAGCCTCATCAGCACATAACGTAAATAATACACTAATTTGAAACAAGCTGAAATGATATTTACTGGGGCACATGTGTGCACACACACACATTGAATTGCCCCCTGGTGTGTGAGTAGATTGAGTAAAGAAGCTCTAAGGAGCAGGCGGAGTCTGTCAATCCCTTTGTCATCAAGAAGATACAGCTGAAGGTTAGCACTGATCTATCTAAACACATCAGCTCATTTAGTAGACAATGTTTAGAGCCCACAAACTAGTCCTGTAAACAATACACTGTATGTATATCATTTATATTTCATCAGGAGCAACTTTTGGTTGCTCTTAATAAAGAGAGCAACCGCAAACCATGACCATCTGCTAGCTCCCTTGTTTAAAAAAACCCAAAACGTTTCAACCATTTATGTAAAGTATATTAATGTATGTATTATTGATAACTTTAGGTCTAGGTTTTGTGCTAGAATATTGGTACTATTGATTAGCCTAGCCTTCATAAAATACTTTTACCAAAAGGTCAGCTAGATAATCTGCTTCTACTACAGGCATATTAAACTATTAAGGCTGTGTGAGCAATGTGACACCTCACTGATCACAGACTGAAGTGACATGGGCTATTGTGACGTTTTCAGGTGACTTAATAAACCACAAGATGGGGGTATAACCATCATAACATCAGCCTGCCCAGGGACTACAGGTGGAAATTAGCATCTCTGCTATAACCTGGTACATGTATCTCTCCTTTTGTGTTAATGCTTAACTGTACACTGTCCCTGTTCAAATAAAGTACATACAATACAATAATAACATGTTCAGCCACCATCACACGTGAATGCACCATAGAAAGCACCAGACACTGTGGTTTACTACTATAGGGTTGATCAAGACAACTATCTAAACAGGTCAGTGATACACTGAAGAGCATGGTGAACCATTACTTTCATCATCAGCCCTGACAGCAATGGTCTATTTAAATTGTACTGTAATTATGGGGAAATGTAGTATTTTTATTATTATTAAATACACTCTATACACTAGAAAGCCTGAATTATTATAAATGTGTTTTAATCATATTTTGTATGCTTGTCTTGGAATGTGTGTGTAATTGCAAACCAAAGACACATTTCTGATGTCACTATGCATGACACACAATAAAGTTATTCCATTATTTTTTTTGAATACATCATTATTAGTAAATACTAATACGATGGAGCTAAAGGCTTATCTGGAAGAAAATAGCAGACGCTATGAGACTGTAAGAATAAAGTTGAAAGAAAACAAGATTAAAGTCATAATATAACAAGAATACAAATGTTGCAGTACCTTATCCAGATATACATGCAGTATGTATACTGTATACTGTATACTGTATGTATGTAGCAAAGAGCTATACCATATACAGTGCCTTGCGAAAGTATTCGGCCCCCTTGAACCTTTCAACATTTTGCCACATTTCAGTCTTCAAACATAAAGATATAAAATTTAAATTTTTTGTCATGAATCAACAACAAGTGGGACACAATCGTGAAGTGGAACGAAATTTATTGGATAATTTAAACTTTTTTAACAAATAAAAAACTGAAAAGTTGGGCGTGCAATATTATTGGGCCCCTTTACTTTCAGTGCAGCAAACTCAGTCCAGAAGTTCAGTGAGGATCTTTGAATGATCCAATGTTGTCCTAAATGACTGATGATGATAAATAGAATGCACCTGTGTGTAATCAAGTCTCCGTATAAATGCACCTGCTCTTTGATAGTCTCAGGGTTCTGTTTAAAGCACAGAGAGAACCATGAAGACAAAGGAACACACCAGGCAGGTCCGAGATACTGTTGTGGAGAAGTTTAAAGCCGGATTTGGATACAAAAAGATTTCCCAAGCTTTAAACATCTCAAGGAGCACTGTGCAAGCAATTATATTGAAATGGAAGGAGTATCAGACCACTGCAAATCTACCAAGACCCGGCCGTCCCTCCAAACTTTCATCTCAAACAAGGAGAAGACTGATCAGAGATGCAGCCAAGAGGCCCATGATCACTCTGGATGAACAAGAAGAGGGTTTTGGATTTACAAATAATTTAGTAAATAAATGTTGCTGATAAGATTTTGTCTATAATGTCCTAATTAATTTATGAATAACCAAAATGCCTCTGAACACGTGTTGAAAAACTCTTGAGTACATGCTTGATCCATGGAAACTTATAAAAAAGATAAGATAAGTGAACCTTTATTCGTCCCACAGTTGCATTGTTGGACAGTAGTAAGAGCACACAACCTGTACAATATAAGTAACGTTAGCTGCTTTGTTTCTTAGCAAGCTGTCACAACATAATTATACTTCTGTGATATCTGATCAGCAGATATCATTGAAGTGGACCTCTGTTATATTTGTGTTACTGCTAAAGGCAAGGCAAGGCAAGGCAAGGCAAGTTTATTTGTATAGCACAATTCATACACAAGGCAACTCAAAGTGCTGATGCAGTACAGAGAGGTGTGCAGTATAGAGAGGTGTGCAGTATAGAGAGGTGTGCAGTACAGAGAGGTGTGCAGTATAGAGAGGTGTGCAGTATAGAGAGGTGTGCAGTATAGAGAGGTGTGCAGTACAGAGAGGGTGTGCAGTATAGAGAGGTGTGCAGTATAGAGAGGTGTGCAGTACAGAGAGGTGTGCAGTATAGAGAGGTGTGCAGTATAGAGAGGTGTGCAGTATAGAGAGGTGTGCAGTACAGAGAGGTGTGCAGTATAGAGAGGTGTGCAGTATAGAGAGGTGTGCAGTACAGAGAGGTGTGCAGTATAGAGAGGTGTGCAGTATAGAGAGGTGCAGTACAGAGAGGTGTGCAGTATAGAGAGGTGTGCAGTATAGAGAGGTGTGCAGTACAGAGAGGTGTGCAGTATAGAGAGGTGTGCAGTATAGAGAGGTGCAGTATAGAGAGGTGTGCAGTACAGAGAGGTGTGCAGTACAGAGAGGTGTGCAGTACAGAGAGGTATGCAGTACAGAGAGGTGTGCAGTATAGAGAGGTGTGCAGTATAGAGAGGTGTGCAGTATAGAGAGGTGCAGTACAGAGAGGTGTGCAGTACAGAGAGGTGTGCAGTATAGAGAGGTGTGCAGTATAGAGAGGTGTGCAGTACAGAGAGGTGTGCAGTACAGAGAGGTGTGCAGTATAGAGAGGTGTGCAGTACAGAGAGGTGTGCAGTATAGAGAGGTGTGCAGTACAGAGAGGTGTGCAGTACAGAGAGGTGTGCAGTATAGAGAGGTGTGCAGTATAGAGAGGTGCAGTACAGAGAGGTGTGCAGTATAGAGAGGTGTGCAGTACAGAGAGGTGTGCAGTATAGAGAGGTGTGCAGTATAGAGAGGTGCAGTATAGAGAGGTGTGCAGTATAGAGAGGTGCAGTATAGAGAGGTGTGCAGTACAGAGGTGTGCAGTATAGAGAGGTGTGCAGTATAGAGAGGTGTGCAGTACAGAGAGGTGTGCAGTATAGAGAGGTGTGCAGTACAGAGAGGTGTGCAGTATAGAGAGGTGTGCAGTACAGAGAGGTGTGCAGTATAGAGAGGTGTGCAGTACAGAGAGGTGTGCAGTATAGAGAGGTGTGCAGTATAGAGAGGTGTGCAGTATAGAGAGGTGTGCAGTATAGAGAGGTGCAGTATAGAGAGGTGTGCAGTACAGAGAGGTGTGCAGTATAGAGAGGTGTGCAGTATAGAGAGGTGTGCAGTACAGAGAGGTGTGCAGTACAGAGAGGTGTGCAGTACAGAGAGGTGTGCAGTACAGAGAGGTGTGCAGTATAGAGAGGTGTGCAGTACAGAGAGGTGCAGTATAGAGAGGTGTGCAGTACAGAGAGGTGTGCAGTATAGAGAGGTGTGCAGTACAGAGAGGTGCAGTATAGAGAGGTGTGCAGTATAGAGAGGTGTGCAGTACAGAGAGGTGTGCAGTATAGAGAGGTGTGCAGTATAGAGAGGTGTGCAGTATAGAGAGGTGCAGTACAGAGAGGTGTGCAGTATATAGAGAGGTGTGCAGTATAGAGAGGTGTGCAGTACAGAGAGGTGTGCAGTATAGAGAGGTGTGCAGTATAGAGAGGTGTGCAGTATAGAGAGGTGCAGTACAGAGAGGTGTGCAGTATAGAGAGGTGTGCAGTATAGAGGTGTGCAGTACAGAGAGGTGTGCAGTACAGAGAGGTGTGCAGTATAGAGAGGTGTGCAGTATAGAGAGGTGTGCAGTATAGAGAGGTGTGCAGTACAGAGAGGTGTGCAGCACAGAGAGGTGTGCAGTACAGAGAGGTGTGCAGTATAGAGAGGTGTGCAGTATAGAGAGGTGTGCAGTATAGAGAGGTGTGCAGTACAGAGAGGTGTGCAGTACAGAGAGGTGTGCAGTATAGAGAGGTGTGCAGTATAGAGAGGTGTGCAGTATAGAGGTGTGCAGTACAGAGAGGTGTGCAGTACAGAGAGGTGTGCAGTACAGAGAGGTGTGCAGCACAGAGAGGTGTGCAGTATAGAGAGGTGTGCAGTACAGAGAGGTGTGCAGTATAGAGAGGTGTGCAGTACAGAGAGGTGTGCAGTACAGAGAGGTGTGCAGTACAGAGAGGTGTGCAGTACAGAGAGGTGTGCAGTATAGAGAGGTGTGCAGTACAGAGAGGTGTGCAGTACAGAGAGGTGCAGTATAGAGAGGTGTGCAGCACAGAGAGGTGTGCAGCACAGAGAGGTGTGCAGTACAGAGAGGTGTGCAGTACAGAGAGGTGTGCAGTACAGAGAGGTGTGCAGTACAGAGAGGTGTGCAGCACAGAGAGGTGTGCAGCACAGAGAGGTGTGCAGTACAGAGAGGTGTGCAGCACAGAGAGGTGTTCATACAGCTGACAGTACTGCCTCTGAATGTCATCATCACTGAGGTCACTCCTGATGACGTGCTCCAGGTATTTGTCCTTCTCTAC